GGGAAGCTTCTAAGAGATACCAAAAAGGACTAATAAAAAGACTAACTATTCCTCCTGCCCTTACATGTCAGTATGAAGATAGGAGACATATATTAAGAAAGCTACTCTGTTGGATTGAAAGTCTGGATTTGTTATTAATATGAAAGTCATGAATACAAACCCTCCTCCGTTCTTTGGTATTTTTCCCTTTTAATGGTGCCAAGACGTCCAATACTGGAGCGATATATCGCAAAAGAGACTGTTCGAATCGTGGTGAGATTAGGGCATCAGGGTGCACGAGATCTTTCTTCGAGGCACGTGAGACTGGTGTATAGACAACCAAGCAAATCCACAATCGAACCTGCCCAGATGTGGACCTTCAGTGGAACCTCCCGCAGCCTCCCTTGGTTCTGATCTTCTGATCTGATTTGATCTTGTGATGTCCAACATAAGACGTACGGAGTACTCCCATCAGAGCTCACGTTGAAAGGCTCGGGTTAGTGCGGCGACCTGTGCGTACACGACCCACTGTTCATCTCACATATTTTCGCAGATCGAAGGGAGTCAGTCCCAAGATTTCGAAGCCCTCGAGAAGTGAGAATCCGGCAATTCAATTCCTCAAGTCCAAGAGGCCAATCAGAAGCCAAGCAGAAACGCATATAACTCCCATGGAGCCAGGGGCATCCAAAAGGTCAAATTCCTCCGATCGACTGGAATGATCTGCTTTAGCGCGGAATGAGCCTCGTGTTTGTTTCCTTTCCTCTTCCTACACGCTCTTTTGGGTAAGTCTAAGAATCGTGTGTGCATGGAGGTCGGACTTGGCTGATCAGAGCTTCATTTCAGCTTGCCCCCACTAATTCTACCATTCCTCCGCACTTTCTCCTGACCAGCCTCCGACATAAAATTTGCGGCGCTTACTACAGCCTGGCTGGCATCCACGAACCCGTCTGATGAACTTGACTTGACATGCAAATATACCGCGCTCTCAGCGGACCTTGAACGACCGACCGCCTCCTCCCCGAGGATATGGCTACTCCCACCCCCCTCAGTGCGAAAAGCAAGCTTGCTGGACCCGGCACATCCTTGAAAATCACTCCTTCGAACTCTCCGATCCTCCGACCAGGCACACGATCCCCCAGCAAAACCTCTCATCAATCCTCCTTATCCCTCCAAACCGTTATTGGCACAACAACAACCACCCCCAATGGCTTTTCAAGCCATGACCAGAGCAAAAGCTTTGCGCTATGCGCTGGATCAGCAGCGGTTCTTGCAGAGTTAGACGAGAACGACAACATAACACAGCGCTTCTTCCGAGCCCGTCCCTCCGCGACAAGTGTCCACCCATCAACTTCGTTTTACAATCAGTCGACTCCCCCGACCACCCCAGACCCGAGATCGCGATCCCTCTCCCATATCCGGTCCAATCCACACCTTAATCTTCACAGTGGGTCTCCGTCAAGCGAGGGCGTCGACAGCGGCAGCCCACGTGGTTGGTCTTCGAGGGAAAGGATCAAAGCAGTGACGAGTGTTTCGATCAGCCCGAATGGAAGACTCCTTGCAGTGGGAGAGGTGAGTGGGGGAAATTGAGCTAAATTATTGCAAAAATTGGCAGCTGACGACGTCAAGACTGGCTATAATCCTCGAGTCTTAATATTTTCAACAGCGAGGGATGCATTGCCGGATGTTCCTCTATCCATTCTGAACGAGCATACTTTCGGTGTTCGCAGCTTGGCGTTTAGCCCCGATTCCCAGTATTTGGCGACACTCGGCAACCCGAACGACGGATTTCTCTTTATCTGGACAATTAACCTCAAGAACGGATCGGCCAAGCTGCACTCTGCGAATAAATGCACCTCGTTTATCAATGATATGTGCTGGGTCGGCCAGAGCTTGGTCACGTATGTTTGACCGGACGGTGATAACTAGCAGTCAACTAATGTCTTCGTCTTTGTCCAGGGCCGGTCTGCGACATCTTAAGGTCTGGCGTCTTCCAACGGTGATTCGGCCTGTTTCGCCAACCAAGACACGTTTGAATGTCGAGGGAGCTGGTCCCTCGCCCAATCCTGCTCCGAAAGCACTTTCTGGCAGGAATTGTCTACTAGGTGCACTAGCCGACAACACCTTCACCTGTGTGAACAGTATCTCCTACAACGAGGCTGTAATTGGCACAGATTCAGGTGCAGTTTGCTTTCTCGATGACCGCGAAGGATCCCAGAAGATAATCACGGTAAAGCAAGTTGGATTCAGCATCACCTCGTTGGCCGTTGACTGTGACCAAGAGTCCATATGGCTAGGTGGACGAGGAAGGCAAATGCAGCGGGTGCCGTTTGAAGTTCTACGATCATCCGGCTCATCCACGCCAATTTCCCCTGCGCGCCTTGACAAGAGTGCGATCGACAAGAAAAGCAAGACACCGGTGATTACTTGTATGGCGTCTCTTAATTCCCATCTGGTCACTGTTGAATCCACTCGCGCGATTCATGTCTATCCGATTGACACCTTAGGCGAAGACGGTGAACAGGAGAAGGGGGAGGCTTCCATGCCGGCCCATCGGGACCCGATTCTCGGTATTTGCCGCATGGATTTCCCAAACGACTTGTCTGCGGACTTCTTCACTTGGTCTCGAAATGGCTCGGTGAACTTTTGGGATGCCCAAGGGAAGTGTCGAGGAACGAAAAATATCGATCTCGACCAATTTCCAGCAAAGGAAGACGATGCGGCAAACGAACTCAAAGTCTTGAGGACCGCTGAAAATGCGCACTGGTTTGTCTCTGGTGACAAGCTCGGCGTATTGAGGTATGTGGAATTTAGGGATAGTGGCGACCCTCTTCAACTAACCCATTCGATGCAGAATATTTTCGAACTCCGACTGGACCTGCCTCAACCAGGCGCGCGCCCATGGTGGAGAAATCACAGATGTGGCCATCCAAGGCACGGACGACACCTGGTTGATAGCTAGTTCTGGGCGTGACAGGATGGTGCAACTCTTCGAGAAACGAGACACCGAGTTGCAGTTGATTCAAACCATGGACGATCACGTAGGAGCTGTTGGACAATTGATGTTCATCAACGAAGGCGAAAAGCTGCTTTCATGCTCGGCAGACCGCACCGTTGTCATACGAGATCGTGCGACACGCGAGGTGGATTGTGGCACATCTGTTGCATACCTCATCTCAAGGGTCATCACTCAAAAGTCCTCCCCCGTGTCGATGACACTTTGCCCAGACGACTCGAATATTCTATACCTTTCTACCATGGATCGTTGTGTTTCGAAATTTGATATCCCTTCTGGGCATCATCTTCACTGTTTCAAGGCGTCTGATTCGGAGACAGCTGATGCGGTGATTTTGAGCTCGTTGACAATTGCATCTGAAATCCCAGGTCAGACTCCGAAGATCCTTGTAGGTATTTCGAGTACCGACAAGTCTATTCGCGTCTATGATCTAGAGCGAGACCAGCTCCTCACTGGCGAATTTGGCCATACAGAAGGCGTCACCGATGTGTTACTCCTCGAGGAGCGTGATAAATCCGATGGGTCCCAAACCAAGCGCACAGTGGTCAGCACTGGTATGGATGGTATCTTGATGATATGGAACCTATCTGTCCAGCAACAGGTCTCACCAGACCTCGTCGGAAATACACGTGAAGACGATGACAATCCCGTAAAGGAACTGATAGCGGCGAAGCCCCCTCTCCGAAAAGTCCTTTCCCGCAGCGAGCTCGCCGGATTTCAACGACCGGATAGCCCCAATCCTACAACACCAACACCTATACGCGAGCACTCGCCGACCTTACTCCGCAAGCTGTCTCGACTCTCCCTAGCGCCATCATCACTGAAAAACCACGCCGTCTCAGAAACATCATCCCCGCCAAACCGCCTCTCCCCAACAACAGGCACACCGCACGATCGACGCCGCCGGTCCCCATCCCCAGTAAGCCCCAAGTCAAAGCCTCCAACACCCCGAAAACCCCACAGCGCCAGAACCACCAACCGCCGCACATCCCTCGACTTCCGCACACGCGGCAAAACCACCCCGCGCAGCGAGTTCGGAAGCTTGGACATGTCCACCGAGCAGCTGTGCCGGACTCTCCGAGCGTATCGCAAGAAACTCAACGGTTCGAGTCGACGCATGCAAGCGCAAAAAGAGCTCGAGCGCGAACTCAGTCTGACACTCCGCATTGTAGGTGGTCGTGGACAGAGCAGCGATGAGAGCGGCGAAACCGAGACGGACAGTAGCGGTAAAGATATGGAGCGGGAGCAGAAACAGAGCTACTCGGCAACGCCCAAGTCGCCTCGTATTCCTCACCGCATGCCGTCTACCCCATCGTTGCGGTATAAAGGGGTGCGGCAGGTTTTGCGGAGCCATTCTTGCGATGCGAATGAGGAAGAATGAAGCTCGTTCTCATTAGGGGGTTTTTCCATTCTGATATAGGGAGAGCAACTGCATTTCTGGTGTTTTGTGGCTTCGGTTATGGAACTGCTATAGCGCTTTCATGTCGCTTTCCCTTGATCCTTTCCCTTTTCTTCTTTCTTTCTTATTTACTGGCATTTTGGCTTGTGCATTCTCTTGATTTTTCCATTTTTGTTTCCTTTTTCGCATCTTTGCATCATCTACTGGACTTTTGGTGGCTTGGGCGATTTCCTTTTCTTGGACTTCCTGATTTCTGAAATCATTTCACTTCTGATGATACCCATATTTACCTTTTTGAGGCCGTAGGCCATCTCACCATGATTAAGATTATTGAATCCTTTCTTTCTTTTCATACTTTTGTTTTGATCGGGGAAGCATAAGAATACCTAATTCAATTTTTCAATTTCATCTAGAACTTCATTACACACACATTCCTCTACCTTGCCACAACCCACCTGACATTATGATCGAATATCTTCATCCAATCCTCAACCTATTCTCAATCAGGAGCGTCTTGATAATTGCTTCTTGGCCACTGCATTCACTCTCACCACTCACCCACTAGAAATCTCCAGATCAGATCAATCAGTCTAACAACTCCTCAAAACCTCAAACTCCAATCAAGCTCCCCAGTCTTTTCTGAAGCGTCCCGACCAGGAGTTTGCCCTGGGCACCAGGCACAAGCTGAGAAATGCGAATAGCCTTGTCCGCCCAACGCTGACAGTCTGCGTCTCGGGTGACACGGTAAAAGTCAACAGCCTTGTTGAAAGCCATGGTAGCAATCTGGATCAACTCCGCAGCTGGGTATGTAAATACTTCAGCAAGCTCCGACTTGGCCTGGATGGCATGCAAACCGTGCTCTGCAATGTGTGCGTCTCCTTCAACGCCTGCCTCTTCGTCTGCCATTGCGAGGACTTTGTCGAGCACTTCTTCAGCAACCTCGGAATCGGCCATTTCGACATCAAGACAGGCAATTCCAGAAGAGCTTGTGTTTTGGACCGGTCCAATGGCTAGAGTGAATAGACAATGGAGGTAGCGGGGCAAGGAAGCCCGGAAATCGCGTTGCCATGTGGTAGGGGGATCATCCTGTAGCTTTTTGAGCTTTGACACGATCCGCTATTGTATAAATGTCAGTAGCTGCTCAGAGAATGTGCCTCCCAGTCATAAGAAGCGAACGCACCTTGATGATATGAATCGCCAGTTTGGGTGGTAATTTTAATTGGAGAGTCAGATCAATGGTCGGTGCGTAAAACTTCGGATCAGGAAATGCATCGTCGGATGCACATATGCTGGCGACATCCTTCCACTTACTGAGGTGCATGGCAGCCTCAAGGTAGAAGAATTGCGCAATATTACGGTGCCTGTCTTCTTTGAAATCCGCGTTATCATCTGTTTCTTCTTCTCCATCTTTCCAACCATGCAAGTCACTGAGTTGCTGAAAACAAGCGCGTACATCCTCGTAGTGCGATGCCTGCAGATAGTCAGTATTTTCCGCATGGCCACATCGTGACAATCTTGGGCGTAATCTCTGTTTTGAATAAAAACTGTTGAAACCAACCTTTTCAGTCGGATCATCCTCGCAGCGGGCCTTGAGGGAGCTAGCAAGGAGACGGAGGTAAGCAACCGCAAAGAAATGCGGTCTAGGTGCTTTAGAGCCCATCTCAGGGTATGCAATCTGACGATATTGAAGCGCAAACTAATAACATGTTAGTAAACATGACCAAATAGACCCTTTGCTTGGGTTTAAAACAGACATCTCTGGAGTGATCTAAGACAGAAGTAGTCCACAGGAACCCGGAAGAGGTGATGAGTTTCAAAGCAATTTTGTAAGTTGCAAAATACAGCCATTGCAGTTGGGTGACAGAAACCTCCTGGTCGCCACCTTCAAACATGCTGTTCTCTTTTGCATAAGACAGGGCTATTGAGCGATTAGCATCAAAAAAGCTGCTATTGCTTGAGGGGACAAAAATACCACTCTGCAGTACAGTCTCGATACAGTCGCCAAGTCTCTGGTTGAAGCCTTTGGACAGCTCTTCGGAAAGAAGAGTGATTGCAAATCTGTTCATGGTAGCCAAGTTAGCCTTATATACGAAGTGACAGACTTGAATCATTCTCACATGTAATGTTCGGCAGCGGAAAAGTCGTGATGATAAATGTCATCTGAAGTCAAGCATTTGATAAATTGATCAAGACAGTTCAGTACTTCTTCTGGTTTGTGTTGTCTCTGAGCTTCCATTGCGCACGATAGTAGGCTCATTTGCTTGTGCGGCACGGGATGCAAAGGAAAGCCGAGGTAGAAATACCCTTGCATATAGTTAGAGTAGGTCAGAAGTGTGGAAGTTCGATGGGTTTTTCATACCAGAGCCATCTTTTCCCTCCAACAATGTCAACTTGTAAGACAAGTACATCCTTTCGCAATCCACCTGACTTTGGAATAGACCCCGATCGATTAACCGACGAGCAGCGGTGATGTGCCCAGTCTGTAGGTAACATGCAACCAGCTTCCTGAAAAGACGTTAGCCCGCTATGTAAGTTAAACGTCGACTTTTGTTCCACTGACTTTTGTATCGCGATTTGGATGGACAGGGAGCAGTGTTGGAAGATCTTTGGATCACTGCACACCTGAAGCCATGACTGTGCAGTCCAGTAGTCCTTCTTGAGAAGTGCACCACCAGTCATTTTCCAGATACACTGTATACACTCAGTCAGCTTTTCTGTTGACGATGATGAGAGTTTGTCTTACAATCACGGTGGCGTGAGCTGCGCTGGCGCTAATTGATGGATATCCACGTTTCTCTAGTGCGTCAATCACGGCCCGGAGGGTGCGAATGCGCTTAGAATCAGAGACCTCCGACCTGCTTAAAAGTAGAATGAAAGCAACAAAGCATTTCTCTGTCCATTCTCTTGTTGGCAGAGGGCGCATAAGCAAAATCCGAAATGCTTCCATTCCGTTATCCGAACCACTAAATAACTGTCAGCAAGTCCCTTAGCAGGTGGGCCGTATAAAGGTACCCTGTATGACCCAGAGATCGGGAAAATTGGAAAATCCTAGTTCCACTGTTAAAATCCTGAAAGATTCTAGATCAATCGACACTGGTGGACTAGCTCACATCGGCATGTTCATATCTGTGAGAGTCATCTTCTCAATCAGACTCTTCAGACCTAGAATAATAGAGTTAATTCAATTCCATTCAAAATAAAGGTCAGCCTTACCTCGGAGTGATCCGTCGCGACCAGGAGGATTATTATGTCCCATAGAGAGATCAAAAAGGACCACAGCAGGGTGCTCTGGGTAATTCTAAAAAGGTCAGCTTAAGTCTATGACACTCACCATGAACGTACTTCTCGCAAGGCTCTAGTTTCAATATCGTAGATGATGGTTGACTGAATACTTTTGACTCGCGTACAAGCGACAACTGCAGCATGTTAGCCCAGGTCATCAACTAGGTCAATCCACTCACCGAGGGAATGTCGAACAACCAAGTTCCAATTATAGTATTCTGGAAACTGCATCTGAGTCATAATGTGTAAGGACTGCAAGTGATCTCTCGCTCTCTGCAGCCATGTGATTGCGATGTCAGGCAGGCGCCGTGCAAGTGCAGAGTCCCCAATGATAAAACAAGTCTCGAAAATCGACTCTTCATCATTTGACACAACCGGCGTAGGGATTTTGGTAAAGAAATGCTCGGCAATGTCTACTCGGTCCTGCAACCAAGCCTGAAACACTATGTCAGGTCTGATGTTGACACACGAAACAGTGTCCCGACAATACAACTCACCAGTCGAATACGAAGCAAGAAATATCGGGTGGTGAGAGTGCGGTTAATCGCAGGATCAAGCCCAAGATGAGCAGGTTGAACACTTTCTAGCCTCCGAGCTGCCACTGACAAGATATTCAGCGCAATTTCGCGTTGCTGGTTCACTGTTTTTGTTGTTAGATCCGATAAAGTCAAAGCAAGATATAAGATGATATACCAATGCAAATACGCGCCGTCTTGAGGGCCAAATCGAGAGCCCTGAGACTGCCTATAAAAAGTCAGATAAGCTCACTTTGATATATACCACAGGCCATGAACAACCTAGGAGATCAGGCGAGACAGCCATGTTCAACACTGCAAACGCGAGAGCCCTCACCTTGCCGAGCAACAGCACATCCTCCGGATTGTGACCACGCGAGATCATCAGCTCGGTGCAGTCGTTCCAGAGCAATGTCCCAATCATATCCAGTTGGTCGCGGCCCGATGCATTTGTCAACAGACAGAACGGGTTACTGTTGAGATCGCTATCCAGTCTGAAAATGGTATTAGAAGAGAGCAGAGGATTTGTCTTAGTATCGACTGTGGATAAGGTTGTATGCAAGGCGCAAGCAAGGTCTAAGGCAGAAGAGCTTAGAGGTTAGCTGCTGTACCCAGCGGGCGACATGATGTGCGGCTCATACCTGCCAGAGCCTGGCGTGGTCCAGACGGTTGCGCCATTGGGAAGACTTGGTAATTGGGAGACAGAAAATGAAGATGAAAAGAGATGGGAAGAGAAGAAGAGAAAGTGATGGGGAAGATGGTTGGAGTTGGCAGAGCGTGGAGGACGACTGAGTCGTGGAGGCGACTCAAACTCCAGGCGCTTATTCGTCTCTTGATCATCGCAAACGGGGCATATACACTACTCAGAGCATGAAACCCTCTTACTTCCTAGATATCATTCCACTCAAAACAGATTGTTTGATGTTGTACACATAAATCCAGCACTATACATTTTTCTTTGAAGAGTACAGCCAAAACTCGGGGAATCACTATACCGAAAGATGATACCAAAAGAGAAGCCCTTGCGTGACATGAAATAAATAACAGTCTACCGAAAAGTACTATTTATCGATAGGGAGGAAGTTCCCAACGATGAGAGACGGGCTGCAGAGTGTTAGTTCAGACACGTCAGTGTCTAGTGGACAGTAGACAGTGGACACTTACATGTTGTGGTTGTCTCGTCTGATCGTGAACGAAAAGCAGCAAGTAATGCCATCACCCGTTGAGTTGGGATTAGGGCTCTTCAGCGTGCAACTGGTGAGCATGGCCTTTTGGGTATTGTCAAAGGCGATAGCGCCGAACTTTTCCCAATAGCTGACCAGTTGATCTTCGACGACGATCTCGTGGATTGCAAGTTTGCCCTACAGGGAGTAAACATGTGAGTTGAGTATGATATAACGTGGGGGTTTCTCCATCTTTGAAACATACATCTCGCAGGCCCTCAACCGGGACATCAATCAGCTGTGCCATCTCATTGTTGCCTCGGAAGATCTCGCCCGTTCGACGCCAGCAGCAGGCCGGGATAGCCATACTGGCAAAGACGCGGTCGTACTCCATAAGACTTCGCTCGAACCACATCTCCACCAGAATCAGTTCGATATCAGTCAAGCTCTGCATGCGTTCTCGGAACTTAGGCCGGAACTTGTCGAGCTGCCGTAGAATCTTTTGCCTAGATATTTGTTGCATGTTCTTTTCCATGTACTGGTTCAATCGTGCATACCCCTTGACGTAGTTGAACGGTTTCAGCAATCCGGCGTCATATTTCGCTTTCAGAAGCTTGTTCATCCGCTCCTCTGGTGGGTCAGTTCCTGCCGGGTCGGCAGCGGTCATGTAGTATGTTTCTCGCGCTTTGTCATTGCCCACCGTGGAGGTCGGGGGTTGAATCGAGTCTCCTGGAGGTACTTGGCTTTGTGCTGGCGGTGGAAGTTGTGCGGGAGGCGGCAGCCCGTTCGGTAGCGCCATACCATTCATCGAGTTCATCAGTGAGGAATCAGTGTAGATTCCCTGCATGTCTTGATTTTGGAACATTGCCCCGTCATCCAAGAGACTGTTACTGAGGAAATCTCCGAGCAGATTGTACTCGTTGGTCACCTCATGTGCATTGAACATATACGACGGGTGGAGAGAATGCATTTCCTGGAACTGATTCTGACCACCTACCCAGTCGTTGTATTGCATGACTGTCATACCACGTCAGCTTAGTCCGGAGGCAAATTGGATTCGTTGCGAACTCACGCTGAGAGTTAGCCTCGAGGCCCTGATTAGACGTAGAAAGATTCCCAGGCGGCACTGTTGAAGGCGGATTCACAGCTGAGGGTGCAATTCCGATCGTGGTATCAGGGAATGATTGCTGACCAGCAGCATCGGCGACGTCGACACTCCTAGGCATGCCTTGAACGGAGCCCAATTCATTGTTAGACGAGCCCTCGTCGTCCGCGGCAGAATGTTCTTGTTCGCCACGTCCTCGTTTCGCAGTTTCTCTCGGCTCGTCATGGCACAGGTGACCGATGTTTCGCTTTATACAGCGTGTGCAGGGCCGTTCCTTCATAGATTCGGACAGGTCAGCTGGTGCAATTTATTTCCCGCAAGTCTGCGTTCAGAGTTTCAGATGCGACGGGTCGCGAATTGAGAAAGGGGAGACAGAGGTGTCGTACCGAGTCGCAGGTCATATGCTGTCCCACACGGACAAAATCCCGTTAGTAAAGCCAGATCCTTGAGTAGATACGTGCCAGCACTGATGTCATGGCCTATCGCAAATAGTAACCAAGCATAATGGCATTCCCTAGAGGTAAACTTACCGAGCGGCGACAATATACACAGGCTGGAATTGCGGGAAACGCTCGTTAGCGAAGATGTTCTTATCGTTATGCGCAACAGAATCGGCCGCGCCCAGATCCCTGTCGCATGCTGCGCAACGGCACCTTACCGTGATTCACCTTCCGGCGCTTCTTGGGACTGGAGTGACTCCCCGAGCCGGTTGTTTCGGCCTTGACCGCAGATGTTTGCGAGTTCTTGACGCTCGTATCCTTCCCTGCATCAGTGGACCTGGATTTTATCGCATTGGAAGCGCCCAGCGGCGCGTTCGTTTCGGACATTGCGCAAGAGTTTAGTGAGAACCACCAGGGCCGGAGCGAAATGGCTTCCTGCAGACCAGTTGGTAGTAGTTGGTAAACGTCAAAAAGTTCTTCCAAAGTTGGGGATGGAGAAAGCGGAGTCACCCCTCCGAACTGCTCCGCATGGGGTTGGCTGTGTGGGCACACGCCACTTTCGGGGCGAGACCTCGGTCAAGGAATTACGTTTTCTATCCTTACAATTGGCCGCATTTTGATTAAAACCACATCATGTAAAAGATGTAGACTCGTGTTTATTGATTGCTAACCGTCTAGTTTCTTCTCTCCATGTGGTGGAGCCTCGGGTTTGTCTAATCACCCTTGAAGCAGGACTCCCCAGATTGGACCGGGTGCGCATGAGACTCGCATTACCCTTCTCCTAACATAATGTGATTCATATTGTACCCCTGTACTGGGATATCCTTTGTTGATGAGAGGTGAGTGCAACCGTACCCGGGCTCCACCGTATGCAGCTATTCAGCGACTGCATTGGAATTCGAGCACGCGACAAGGATTGCATTTGTTACTCCTGGTCGCCAAGCTCGGTCGGTACTTGGTTTGCGTTTTTAATAAACATGCATACACTGGGTCCCGAGGCTCTTCATGTGTCAATCATGAGCATCAAATGCCAGGATTGGTGATTTTGTATAGTGTGGTGATGTCCAGTGGGACTATCAGTCGTTCAGCATCGTGTATAAATCCAAGGCAGCTTGTGAACGAGTGATGGCATCCCCGAGTCTTGCGAAAGGGGAGGTATTGCTTTGCATGGATTGAAGATGGCCATGCAGTTGCTTCATGAGAGCTTGGACTTCGGGGTCCGTCTCCAACTAAAATCAGACACAATGGTAAGTTAACAGAGAGAGCACGTGTGGCTCAAAAGCAGTCCATACCTCGTCTAGAGTCACTTGGCTATCTTTGGCGCCAAGAAGAGTGAACTCGGAGGACCCAGACCCCTCAGTTTGAGGAAGTGCATCCAACTGCCGGAGCACGGGGTGTTCCTGCGGCCGTAAAATATTAGCGGGTCACACTTGGAAACAAGATCAGTTAGTCGCATACATTCTTAGTCTGTCGTTTCCTTTCAGCCTCGGCCCGTTTGGCATTCTTCTCCATTTCCTGGAGCGACTTTGTTTCCCCAGCAAGGAGGGCTTCTTCTTTGGCAATCTCGGCTTTTAGTAGATCGACGCTATCATGCATCGTAGCCAAATGGCCCTCGAGGGAGCGCTAAAAATGTAATCAGTATGGACTTGCTGTCGGCAATCGCAGAGGGTCACATACGTGCTCATTCAGGGCAGATTCGTAGTCGAAGTTCGAGTCCTTCGTTATGGGCGGAAATGGCATCCGTGGGAGTCGTTTGCCTAAACTAAAACAACACGGAGTGTACGGTTAGTACCATCGTCTCTCTCAAGACACTAGTAGCTCTGCATAAGCCACCAGACTAAGCATAGTGCCTTACTTTCGCACGACCGCTTGCACAGCGCCCTGCGCCTCAATTCGCTTGCGCTCATTATGATTCCGCATTATCACCGGCCGTTCGAGGGAGTGGAACATGCCCATGACTTTTTCCTGGACGGGTTCTGGTAGAGGGGCCCATTTCGACTTGATGGTCTTCTCTGGGACATGGCGGACATGGGGTTTGAGATAGGCGTAGCGCTTGGAGTCGTCCTCTTGCGAGGCATCGTCGCCCGTGTGTTTTCGTTTTGGAGGCATATTAAGTCGATGGTGTTGGTCTGTCGAGGTCCAAAGTTAAGGTTACCTCGACGCGTCTTCACATGCAGGCAAAACAGAGCGGTGGAGACTGGACATGGAGATACTAGCATTCCAACTTACAGGGTCTTGGTATTCTTGGCCTCCATTAACACATATTCGTGCATAATAATTTTATAATTTTAAAATGAAAACTAAAATAGAATCCGAATCCGAATCTGTCCTCGAAATGTCAAATTGCAGTACTTCTACACCGGCTTCGAAACCAAGCGTGTGTAGAGAGCAACGACACACCTGTACCATAGCCTTTGCAGCAGAAATCTACTTCTTAATATGTGGACCAAACCAATTTTTAAACACATTGAAGCATTTGAATACTCAAACTATGTGTTGCCAATACAGGCCTTTCGAGTTACATACATATGCACTAGGGTATCGATGTTTGCCGAGGATCAGCCGAAAGATAACTTGCATCACCTACAGCAATTAGATGGAAAAAAGGCAGCGATGAAAGACTATGCAGAGAAAAGAAAAGTGGTATCGTGTTGCCGGGATTTGCGAAGATGAAATGCCAACTCGCCGGCGTGCATACACAAAACTGTCCACCCGCTGAAACGCTTGCAATCCCCGCGAAGAAAAGAGGCAGGGGCCATCCATGAGATCATATTAACGTCGTGACCGTGTCACAGGGGTATCAACGCGGCATCACCAAGCCATTGATGCCCTTCAAGTCATGCAGTTGGCTTTGGAGAATGTCATTCCCCCGGAGAAGGTCTTCAAGCCAGTCGGCAGCTCCAGTGAGCATTGCGCTCTTGCTGAATCCGCCGCCTCTAAGTGCAGGGACCAGTGTGCATAAGTCTTCGAAGCCTTGGCGAATTAGATTTCGGCGTTTCTGCTCCGAAAGAATGTGGTTGGTCCGTTTTTGCTCTTCTGTAAGATTCTCTCGTGCAGCTTTGGACCCTGGCTGTAGTCGGGCTTTTCGAGATATGTCCATTGATACCCGTCGGCCTTTGCTGATAGATCCTCTAGATTTTCTAGAGTGAGGTCGTGCATCATTGTCATCGGAGTATTCATCGGCCTCCTCTTTCAGGGCTCTTTGCCGTTTTCGGGGATGTAAGCTCTCGTCCAGGACAGCACCACTTCGGAAGGGAGGGCCTTGAGGGGGAGCCTCAACCATGCGCTCTGGACTAGGTGCTCGTGTGTTCGCGGCACTGCTTTGTGGTTCGAAACACCCGAGATGATCGAGCAGGTCACTTGTCCGCTGTTCCTCATCGGGCTGATCAGGGGGACGAAGATAGCCTTGGTCCATGAAACTGGCATCTGAGCCCCATCGCAAACTGCGGGCCTTTCTTGATGGATGTTGGTCCGCAGGAATGGGGTCACGGACGTCAAAAAACATCTCCGAGGTATGATATCCAATTGGGACATCAGCCCGGGGTGGAGATGGATTTGAACCCTGTGCAGTAGTGCCAGTATGTGAATTGTTTTTTCGTTGTGTTCCATGGATGGGGAGAGACTGTCCGGCGAAAGCCTGTTGTGCTAACGTGGATCCCAACTCAGATCCATTTACACCACTGTGGTAGAGCATGGAGGCTGCGGCGAATATATCCGAGCTCGTAGGGTTGTCTGTCATCATTCCCCCAGCTGCCTTGCCTAGTCCATGCTGCTGAAATGAAGGCTGCGATAGGGACGTGGTTGACCCCTCGAAGTTGGGTGGCAGTTCACCCGACCAGTCAAAGTTCGGTGCCCCGGATTTATGTTCTTGTCGCATCCAAAGATCATTCGTAAATTGGTTCGCGTTCATGGTAGTAAAGAAGTTATCGAGCATATTGGATTCGTTATCGTCAAGAAGAGAAGGCCCTGGCGGTAGAGCAGGTGCCCGTTCAAAGGGGGTGTCCATGGGGGAGAGAAAGGAGTCTGGAATCGGGTTAGAGAGGGAACAGTGCAAAATAATTCCCGGAATCACTCACATCCAAAGGGAGCAGCCGGAGGGGATGTGCGCCCAGTCCGAACTTCAGCCCTATGTCCATTCATAGCGAAGAGCGGTTCAATATCAAGAGGAATTTGTATGCCGTAGGCTCGGTCAAGAAAAGGGTTGATACTCCGATGCTAAGAGTAGCGCGGGCCAAGGCGATACTGTCATGCCTTGGACTCGAGTGCAAATTGAAAGATGAGAAAGAAGGTCCGACTCCACAAAAGAGAGACGCGGGGGGTCGATCAAGGCCACGGGGACTCTCCAGAGTTGATAATGCGACTCGGTAAGGAGCCGGTTAGGTTCGGCGCAATGGGGATTAAAAACAAGAAGATCAGGGAGGACTGCGAAGAAAGAAAGAAATAGAAGAGGATCAAGAGAGTGTACAAAAGCAAGAGAGATCCTGTAGAAGAATACGTGGAGGGTTTCGCATCAAAAGCAATCGTCCTGTTCGGCCTCGACCTGATCACATGCAAAAATTTGAGCGCGTGACGTAACAGTACCAAAATTACATAAATTACAGCGGATCCGCTGTGGCTTACAATGTACCCTCGGTATTTAGTACGTTACTGGGGAGAGCTGTTAACCCCCGGAGGACCCTTCCCGAGGCCCTGAGAGACACCGACTTGTCTGCAAGCAAAGTACACTGCAGGTACCCTCTGTTACCGTTTGATTCTGGTGTACATTCGAAATACGCACTACACTTTCTCATATCTCTTCCTATCATTTTTATTTTGCAGGGAAACACATAACCGGGCCAGTGCGGTTCGTCTCCTTGTTTTGGATTGTTCTCCTGAGATCGTCATCCTATTATGGGGGCTTAAATTAAATCATTCGCCTTGTTCAGCCCCGCAATCCCGACAATTCTGCTCCGAAAGGTCCATTACTTCGGATGATCGTCCACTGTCTTCGCTTACTGGTTCCCTCGCCCCCGACTTTGGATCTTGTTTGCGGGGCGTTTTCTACCTGGGCAGGGACCGAGGTACAACCGCCAAGTCTCTAACAGGCCATTATTACACAGGATCCACGGTTGGTCCATAGTCCAAAAACGATTGTGCAAGTGTCAATTTCCCTCTGCCGGAGAATACTACCCAATTTTCAGGAGGTGCAATTGTAGGTCACTCACAGATAAAACCTATTGAGCTCTTACCCTCCTGATTTTCTGATTGGTGGGGAGATTCTTGTGAATCCCATCAGAGTTTACAGTTGGCTGAGCTCTCGTCGCCGATTAGTTCGGGGAACTGTGATGTTGACACCTCCCGACGGATCATGACATGAAGGTTTCCGGCAGCATGGAACCTGCACTCCGGAGACGCCATGGAAGGGACAACATCCGGGTATTCAAGCCGTGAGTCCATGCGATCTGCTACCCTTGTGGCTTGGTGCAACTGTGTGATCTGAAGAGCCCTTGCTGATTGTGACTGTAGCCTCCTTCGCGCCTATGCGCTCGGGTACCTATCTTCCGTCACTCCGAAATTGGTGTCCTATCTACGTCGACTGCGCAATAAGGACTGGACTGTGCGACAGAAACTTCAAGAGGTACGTCGTGATATTACATAGTATGGAGCTGTTATCGCGACCTATCATGTCACCTTTCCTCTGGTCTATCGCGTAATTGAAGTGCTATAGCTGACCTCGATTTGAATAGCTAGCTAAAGTCTTGACTGGTCCTTTGCGTCTGAACAGTTTCCCAACAGCTTGTGCTTCCCTAGTCGGTGGCTCAGCCCTACTACCAATAGGATTGTATCGTCTTTGTGCATTGATCACAGCAGGTCGCTCCAGACGTGACGTTCAGATCTCACAAAGGCTCGACCGCTTAATTAGACTAGTCATCAATTTTCTATCTGGGTGGTTCAGTTTTCAACTGCTCAACAAAAACCGCATCCGTCTGCCAATAGAAGATGTCAGAGCTATGCGGGACTCCACAGATCAGGGGAAAGACCCTGGTGAGGTTATGGCTAATCCGCTGGAGCATCACCGTCCGGAGTTAGCAGGGAGGACAATGGACCTCACCATCTACATGGTCACAAGAGCCATAGATGCGGTTGCGTGTGTTGCATGGGGTCGCTGGTCCCGTCGCCGCCAGGCCCAGAATCGCTGGACGACTGTCGAATCCCTTGTCCCCGGCTTCGTTGATGCAGGTGTCTTTGCTATGAGTGCCGCTGTAGTCATGTGGGCTTGGTTTTATCTCCCTGAAAGACTGCCCAGAGCCTACGAGAAGTGGATCGAGGAAGCCGCTCAGGTCGATTCACGTTTAATTGAAGCCCTGCGTCGTGTTCGACGAGGAGTTTTCGTTTATGGAAAGGATACAGGCCAGGCACCTCTTCTCCAGTCGATGTGCAAAGACTACAACTGGCCAGAGGTGTGGGGAGACCCAGCAAAAGTGGCTCCGATCCCCTGCGAAATGGTGCACATGGGCTGTGGCCCCAGTTGTGAGAAACACGCATTGTATCGATTTGCCAAAACCTTCAAATTTGCCTGTGCAACCTACATACCCCTACAGATTGTTTTCCGCCTGCGCAGGATGAAATCTGCAACTGCCCTCCGTCGGGCCCTTTCTGATGCAGCACAATCATCTGCCTTCCTCGCATCCTTTGTGAGCTTATTTTACTACGGCGTCTGTCTCGCCCGGACACGACTTGGCCCCAAGATTTTTGACGCGAAGACAGTCACTCCGATGATGTGGGACTCTGGGCTATGTGTCGGTGCGGGATGTCTCATGTGTGGCTGGAGTATATTGGTTGAGAAGACGCGGAAGAGGCAGGAGTTGGCGCTATTTGTGGCACCCCGCGCTGCCGCCACGGTTTTGCCACGGTTGTATGATAAAAAGGTATGTATCGGACCCTCGCATCCTCTGTTCACAACAGGGTTACACCCACATCCCCTCCACCCCCTTCTCAATGTCTCCAAACCAGCCTGTGGCAGGTTCCAAAACAATCACGAGATGCTGACGCGTGTTGATGTTTCCCAGTATCAATACCGAGAGCGCATCGCATTTGCCGTTAGCGCTGCTATTCTTATCACTTGCCTCCGCGAGAGACCTAGCATGGTAAGAGGAGTTTTTGGTCGCATCACATCGAGTGTGTTGAATTAGACTTTCTTTCACTGAGATGCCTCAAGACATCAAACGGTTGTATTAGTTATTGGTTATTTTAGACTCCAGGTCTGACTTTTGGGTGCCATTAGCCTGTATTTTTATGAACTCTGCATCCTTATCTAGATATATGCATCAAAATGTCTCAAGTCTAATGATACGTATTACATTATGTACGATGCACGAGGCGAGTAGTATCTTCGTACCAACATTGTCCTGGTCTGCTGCTTCTATACCGGTAAATTAATCGCTGGTCATGGGAACTCCGCCTACGTAAGGCAGCCGGAAGGGTACGGTAGGACCTTTCAGTTTGAGACAATCATGATCCAATTAGTCTTCATCCCCGAATCAAGAGTTGATTCGAGAGATACACATTCAATATCCTTGTCTCAATGTTGCGCGCCGTTTAGATGTAACGTGACCCCGAGGCTTAGGGCTTATCGATAAGCCGGAGAATCAGAGTTATCACGTGTTGGGATACGCTGGATCTCATGCGACACAACGTCCAATCCCATTGAAGTCATAGAACCATGTTTTCAAGATTACTCCCCTCAATGGGGCGCTCTGTGCTGACGGGGAAGGTCCCCCGGCGATCAAGCTATCTCCGGAACAGCGTCTTCGAGGTGGAGCGGAGGAATTTCTCGAGGAATTTCCTGCTTCATGAACAACGCAATTCATCTGCAGCGCCTTTTAATACCCCGGAATCGCAGAAACGCAATACCTCTACAATGTGAGCCGGCATTGTACCCGTATTGAAGGGAACCCATATGCTAACAGAGCCCCCGATCAGGTACTATACCATCAGTTTGATCCTTGGAACGGTTGCCCTTGCATATGGATCTGTCCCTCTGTACAAAATGGTATGACAAGCTCTCGCTCGATCCAGAGTACATCCTATATAGAACCTCATTCTGATCCCGATTGATTGCAGATCTGCCAACAGACCGGTTGGGGCGGTCAGCCCATTCTCACCCACCGAACCGGCGACGGTGATACTTCTGCACGTGTGACACCAGTGACAGATTCTCGTCGTCTACGCATCACATTCAACGGCTCAGTATCGGATGTTCTCCCTTGGAAGTTCACTCCCCAGCAGCGCGAGGTCCGAGTGCTACCCGGCGAGACGGCGCTGGCATTCTATACGGCAACCAATAAGGGTCCGAATGATATTATTGGAGTCGCAACATACAGTGTCACGCCAGGTCAGGTTGCGCCGTACTTTAGCAAGATTCAATGTTTCTGCTTTGAGGAGCAGAAGCTCAATGCGGGAGAGTCGGTCGATATGCCTGTTTTCTTCTTCATTGACCCTGACTTCGCTACCGATCCTAATATGAAGGGTATTGATACTATTACCCTGTCATATACATTCTTCAGTAAGTTTGGTGTCTACACGTTGCTTTCTTGGCCTCATCTAACCTGAAGCAGAAGCGAAATATGATGACAATGGTGTTCTGACACCAATCGCATCATAAGAAGCTCATACCAAGGGCGCATTTGGTACTGTATTTCAACTCTGTGACTTTGCATAGACTTGGACATTTAACAGTGAACAAAGAAACATGCGTGTGGTGTTTGGTCCGGCTTTTTCGCATTCATCTCATCTCTCAAAGCAAATTTTGCATGTACTATACATCTCGGAGTTTGGCAGAAGGCTGCCAAATGCCTAGAAAACAATCTAGCTGTATATATTTTTGAATTTATTCACGTGTAATTGTACAGTCGACATTGAACTAAGTGCTTTGAAACTCTTTGCTGCATCCATGGATATGTACTTTGTATAGTGGGAGCGTGCACGGACCAGTGATTAATTAGGCGCGTGTCTGAACGCGTTCTCCAGTCCGCATCCTCTATCGAAAATTCATCTCGATTCCTCAATCCTCTCAACAGTTCTACAGAGTTTTTCAAGATGGCTCTCCTTGTGGACAAGCTGCGGCCACGCACCCTAGATGCTCTCTCGTATCACCCAGAGCTCTCTGATCGCCTACGGTCACTGGTAAGAAGCCCTGACCTGCAGAACATGAACACCTTTTGACACAAGGTACCCTTCATAGGCACACAGCGGAGATTTCCCTCATTTACTAGTCTATGGACCTTCCGGCGCTGGCAAGAAAACACGGGTCATTGCGACACTAAAAGAACTGTACGGCCCCGGTGTCGAGAAGATCAAGATCGACGCCAGAGTCTTCCAGACAACGAGCAACCGAAAGCTAGAATTCAACATTGTCTCGTCGGTGTACCATCTTGAGATTACCCCTGCAGACGTCGGAACATATGACCGAGTAGTCGTTCAGGAATTGCTTAAAGAGGTTGCGCAGACGCAACAGGTCGATCTCAGCGCGAAGCAGCGGTTCAAGGTTGTCGTGATCAACGAAGCTGATCACCTCACACGAGACGCCCAGGCAGCTCTCAGACGTACCATGGAGAAATACAGTCCCAATCTGCGATTGATTCTCCTGGCCAACAGCACCTCCAACATCATTGCACCGATTCGGTCTCGAACCCTGCTGGTCAGGGTTGCAGCGCCTACTGAAAGCGATATTTGCTCTGCGCTCCATCTTGCAGGGAAAAAGGAAGGATGGACCGAGTCTGAGGTACTTAACAAGAGGATCGCAAAGGAGAGTGGACGCAATCTGCGTCGTGCGCTACTCATGTTCGAATCGATTTATGCGCAAAAGTGAGTTTCCACTCCGATTCTCATTGGCCTGGATTTTGGAGACTTACGATGTTGGAAATCTAGTGAAAAGGTTACGGACAAGACCCTCATCCCGCCCCCGGACTGGGAGGCCCTTGTTACCCTAACGGCTGATGAAATCCTGGCTGAACGATCACCGGCTCGGCTATTGCATGTCCGCGCACGTCTTTATGATCTTTTGACCCATTGCATCCCGCCGACAACCATTTTGAAGGTCTACATCTACCTTTCCAATGAACATGCTCCAGATACTAACTGTTGGCGCTAGACCTTGACATTCAAGCTCGTTGCACGAGTCGATGATGCATTGAAGCCAGACGTTATCAAGTGGTCTGCATTCTATGAGCACCGCATCAAGCTGGGAAGTGTAAGTCATTGGTGATTATCATTGCCATCAATTGAGATGCTAATGAAACATACCGTACAGAAAGTAATTTTCCATCTCGAAGCCTTCGTGGCTAAGTTCATGCGCATCTATGAAAGGTATGCTTTCCCTGTATAATTTAACGAAAACATATAACTGATCACATATTAGTTATCTGATGGGCATGGACTTTTAATTTCTCACTACCGACAGACCAAGACAATGGATGAATGACGATTTGTACACTAAGGTGGTTCTCAGTAAGCATGGGATCTAGGAAGTTATGGCCTGCTATTAAGCAGAATCACACTTTTTCGAAATCCCCAGGTATCCGATTTATTTTCACTTTTCACGGGCGCATAGAGGCATTTGCTGAGAAGGATTCTGGCGTTATATCACTTGTCATTGTGTGCTATCTCTGAGGTAGTAGAAAGATCTTTGCATACATCAATTTCTCAAAATTGCAGCTACATATGCACTTCGGCAGTGGAGCTGTGTCTGCATTGCAGCAGCAGTCGATTCTGAGTAGCGCATATTTGAGACAGTGATATCAATCCCGAGTCGTGTAGATCAGAAATTGTCCTCTTCACCTACGTCATCATGTCCCCGTCATTCGATCACCCACCGGGAACATCAGAATAGCCCTCATCTCTTGACCAGGAATTTCTGCTATTTTTTCAGAATACCGTATATCATTGTCTCAAAAATATACTCTATTCGCATGAACAGCACCAAAATGTCCGACCCCAGACTTGTTGATATGGAACCCGGCGGAGAGAGCACTCAGTATGAACTGAACCCAGACCACCTCTTGCAATTGCTCTTCGCTAATATACAGGGTGCAGATATGAGTCCATCCGCCAATTCACTGAAACTCCCCCAAAGCAGACCGGACAATTGGGGAGTGTGTCGCTTCCTTAGAGATAACTTTGGGTGTATTATAGAAATGACTAACCTCACCCAAGGCGGCGATAAGCACACTACAAGCAAAGTGAGCCCTGCTCTAGGAAGACATATCCCAGCACCCGGCAATGACGAGGATTTCCAGGCACAGAAGCTGGGCATGGGAGCAGTCGCTGACTCTGGTAAAGGTAAATGTCCAATATATTTCCCTTGTCTAAACTCCTAGTATCAAGACAAAAGATCCATTGTAGGAGCCCGTGCCTCGATGGCTCCTAAAGAGACGCAAACAGCTGATGATAATGTACAAAAGACACGAAACGTGACGAGGACGATGCCGTGGCCAAGGCCCGCAGACAGCAGGGGTATGGGCCTGGGTCTGGCGTCGGGGCTTAGTCGGGGAAGACGACAAAAGCAAAAGACATGACCGACGAGAAAAAGTAAAACGGTATCATGCAGGAAACAACAGTTTATTGAGTAGGGTCGGGGCTGGACGAGGCGCTCTTCGGGGGTGAAGCGAGATTGTTGGTACCAAGGGGCGGGTTTCTGCGTGCCTGCTTGAGGGAGTCGAGAGTGACACCGTTTCCAAGCTTTGTGATACCGACAACAGGCGGGTCATCCTTGTTGACGAATTCCCAAAGACCTAATGCATAAGAATCAGCATCTTTTGTATCCAGTATGGTACATGTAGAGAATGCATAACCTACCTGGCAATTTGTGGCCCGCCAATCTGAAAGCCTCGCGGGCAACCTTCTCGTGGACATCTCCCTTCAATTCAAAGACAATTCGGCTCACGGGCAGTCGGACAGTCCAGTAGTCGAACTTACCCTTGCCCTTACCCATACGCTGCTCGTTACCCTTGGTGTAGACACCAATGTTGGCGCTGACACGCTTGTACAGCTTATAGTTCATTCCTCGTAGCCGCCGCTTGATAGTCTCTTCGGCGATCTTCAGCGCCGATGCGGGCATGCGGCGGTCGTGGTCTTTCATGCGTAGACCGAAGTCTCCCCACACGACTGTTGTTCCCCGGGTGGATCCGCCGGTAGCGACGTGAGGGCGACCCTTGGGGGATTTGGATTTTTCTTGGAATTTCGGGGTCAGCCAATCAAGGGCGGGCGAGGTGGTAGAGAAGCATCGCGATAGAGAAAAGGTGGCCAGCGGTCCCGACACTATATCGCACTATTAGTCTCCGGCCGAATGGATTGTCTGGGAATTGGATGGCTCGTACGAGTTGGCCGCGTGCACGCGGAGAGTGGTCCAGCAAACATCTTGATCTGTGGACCCATTGTGAGGAGGGAGGCGGCGAGATATACTAATGTTGCGGAAGGCTTTGTTACTCCAGCACTTTTCGATGATTTACACTAGTCCCAAAATGAAAAGGTGGTATACACGTGACACTGCATCGGCTTCCTTCTTTTTGCCTTGTAAATCAGGCGTCAATTTCGGTCCACTACGCAACTAAGCCCCCGGACCACCTGGGCACACCAACCCCGGGTACACTCCCGAGGTCGAAATCATATTATATACGTTTAGTTCTGCACATGTCAATATTCACAAGGTACGCTGAATTCCAACCTCTTTTTCCATCTGCGAAGATCTGGGGTAAAGAAGCTCGATATTGGCGGAAAATTTCGGCGTTCTCCAGATCGATCCCTTCGCGGGCAAAGTGGAAGTCACAATCCTCTGCGGTAAAGAAGGTAAGCCCGTTGCTGTTTTTTCCTAAACGCAGAGCTCGAGGATGGGCTTCTGTGAATCGAGGATGAGTTGACATTGACAAACCTGTCGTAGCCGAATGACAACACGTACTCAGGAGGAATTCGTGGAACAGTGTGGTGAGATCAACACTTTCATTAACTATATTGCATGACGGACCGCACGATAACTGGGAGAGGTGGAGTGTTTTGGGAATTAGCTCCCGTCCGAATTGCTTGCCACCCGAGTTGTCCGGGGGAAGTTTGGAGACGGAGCGGCCAAAATGTGGAGGGGGATCGACGAATGTGTATAGTCGTAGTTCCGGTATACATATCGCCTGTCATGGTGAAGATTCCGAGAGAGCATCATCCGTCTAGAGTTGGGATAGTGCCTAGTTCTGCAGATGCAAAGGTTGGGTAGTTGGACATGCTGAGACTACATCAGTTGAGACGTGACTATGTTGCTTTATGACTCTAGGGCTGGCCGGTGTGCTCGATAAGCTAAGCGTGAATATGTTGAGACTCAATAGGAGTAGAAGCAGGAATCTCATTCTCACACTACTCAACAATGTCCTCCTCGCCCTCCCAATAATCTATAGCCCTATAATAGAAGGCTCCAGAACACCCTTAATCCTCACTCTGAGCGAGATCACAAGCGAGAAATCCCCCATCGCCAGAGTCTGTGATGCCAAATAGCAAACGAAAAGTATGCACTAAATAAACATCCATCACCTTCATTCTCTTCCTTCTTCCTTCAACCATCTTATATCGTCCATGAACCATCCGTTTTGAGATATTCACTCAACATCATCTCTCAGCCATATTGGTATTTGGCCTCTGGCTTCCATCTCCGAGCGATAATCTGGTACGTTTCCCATCTATCGCGATCTCTCACTTGCTCCCAACATCCTCTCACTTTGTTTGGGGAAAAAGGAAAAAAGGGGAGGGAAGAGAAGGTCGAATATCTAAAGCTTTTCGGATTGCATTTTTGAAAAGGAAAAGTACCAAAGGAAAAGAAAGGACAACAACGATAGGAGGACGGTTTGTTTTTACCTAGGTAGGCATGACTTTCAGACTAATAACAAAGTCACACTTCCAATCCACGAGGAGCTTTCTCCGGTAAAATAGGTGAAGAAGAGAAACATAATAAATATTGGTTCTTTGCATGGATGGACAATTACATGGAGTAAGCGCTCGGAACTCGAAGGACATTCATTCTATCGTGGATCAAGCCCAATGTCCTCCGGTCCAAAGAAGGCCATGAGAAACTTTTTGCGTCAGATGGATGGACTGGGAGGTGCTGTTGAGGATTAATATGGAAAACTGGGAGGTCAAAATGCCGTGGTACCTAATAAATGGATGCTAATCAAAAATACAGACATTTTAAATGTGCCAATGAGGTCTACATGGTCATCGCTAGGCCTAATATATTTAGGGCTAGGATTAAACAGGAAATTAGCTACTTTACTAGTTACCCTTATAGTATCTAGTCTAGAAATAGGATGTAGTTATATACTAGGCGGATCTAACTTTAGCCTAGTAACTACATATGTACATAGGTATGTATAGATCTAGCTCACGGTGGTAATACTAGTTATTACCTAGGTATAAGGGAGTAATTACTTAATACTTATAAGCATCTTATATTCTACAGTAGGTCCAAATAGAATCTTATTGAGGTGAGATGCACCCGATCACACTAAAAGAGCATCACACTAAAAGAGCAAGTCTGCGCTGCTCGACTTAATGATTTTAGACTATATGTAGTACATACATATGTAGTATGCCTGGCTGGTAATTCTCTTGCCCTTGTCCATAATGTGCTTGGCCGGCCTATTCTATATTAAGTTTTGCAGATTCTCTCATGATTCTTATAGCTCCTAGACCTCTTATACACGCTAGTCCTAAAAAGGAAGAAAGTGCTGCCTTACGTCAGCCAGTCACGTCTCCCCGGGAGTGTGGCGCGTCGTTCGCGATCTACCGAACGCTGCGGCAAGAGCTCGATTGACCTTAAACCGAGTCCCCATTACTGTTCTGTGCCAAAGTGCAACTGACCGAGGCTCACTATGGACATCCGGAATTTCTTTGGTGGCAAGTCAAGTCAAGGCTCCAGCGACGCCATCGCGAAGCCCCCGACCAAAAAAGAGGTAAGCCGGTGCCTTGCTCATGACCGGAGGTCCGGGTCACTTATACGTGCCCCGGCGTCATTTGAATCGCTCGAGCTGGTAATCTAACCTCAGATTCCAATGCAGGACTCCGCCACAAGAAAGAGACGTATGCTCTCTATAGTCTATACTCCCGTACCACCAGTCTAACCCGAGAACAGGCAGCAGGAAAGTTGTGGATGACAGTGACGAAGAAGAAGATGCAGCGCCAATTAAAGCACCCGCTGCCAAAGCGAAGTCCAAGAGTCAACCGTATGTCCATCGCTGGATTGAGATATCTCATTTATAACTTGACTGATGGACTTCCTTTGCAGGAAGCCTGAAGAAACTAAAGAAGAACCTACAACCTCCTCCGAATATTTCGCCTACAGTAAGAAGAAGACGCGACCTACGAAAACGACCGAGCAAGCTCAACCCGATACAGCCAAGCTTGTTACCGAAAGTCCCAACCCCAAGAAGACTGTCGAAGAGCCTGCTAACAAAGGACGAACCACTACACGGGAATCAACAAAGCAAGCCACAAAGGTTCTTGAAGATGAAAGATTGGGAGCCGATGACATTTTTGCAACCGAGTATGGAAAGGCTGGCGACGGGGACGATGCTTATGTGGCTGGAGACGATAGCGACGAGGACAGTGACTTCGAAATGCTTGAGGTGAGGCCAGCCGCAGCATCAAAGAGCACGCAGAAGAAGCAATCTTCACGCGATGACGAGGATGATGTGGTCATGGAAGATCTCCCCAAGATTCCTGCCCCGAAGGCTCGACCTGGCCGCAAACGCAAGTCGGAAGCTCTCATCGACGAGGGTGAAGACGGTGACTACCAAGAACCCAAGAAGGAAACAAAGAAGGCAGCCCCGAAGGCCAAGGCGGCGGCATCACCAACTGCGAAGAGGCAAAAGGCTACCCCTAAAAAGGCTAAAAAGGAGGACAAACCAGAGAGCAAAGAGCTCCAAGATATCTTCGACAGCATTCCCACGATTGACGCTCCAGAACCTCCTCAGGGAGAGCCAAAGAAATTCAAATTTGGTGCACAACAAAGCCGGGACCCGGCAATGACTGGGACTAAGGAGATGCCCGTTGGGGAAGAAAACTGCCTTGCTGGTTTGTCGTTTGTTTTCACTGGTGTCTTGGAATCTCTCGGTCGCGAAGAGGGTGCGCAATTAGTGAAGAAGTATGGTGGCAAAGTTGTGGGGGCTCCTAGTTCTAAGACGAGCTATGTGGTCCTCGGAGCTGATGCCGGCCCAAAGAAGCTTGAGACCATTGCGAAGCACAAGATCAAAACCATCAACGAGGACGGTCTCTTCGAATTGATTCGACGATTGCCTGCCAACGGCGGTGATGGGAAGGCTGCCGAAAAGTACGCCGAGAAACTGAAAGCCGACGAGGCCAAGGTCCTTGCTATGGCAGCCGAAATTGATGCAGAAGAGAAGAAACGAGAAGAGCAAAAACGGAAGACGGCCATGGCTCAAGTGTCCAAGAACACTGCCACCGCGCCCCAGACGCCACCAAGCCCACAGGCCGCATCATCTGGCGATCTTTGGACAACTAAGTATGCCCCAACATCGATCAGTATGATCTGTGGTAATAAGAGTGCTGTGGAAAAGGTCCAAACCTGGCTGCGGAACTGGCATGCCCATGCCCAAACCGATTTCAAAAAGGGCGGTAAAGACGGCTCGGGGATATATCGTGCCGTCATTATTCACGGTCCTCCAGGAATCGGCAAAACTACAGCAGCCCATCTTGTGGCGAAGCTGGAAGGATTCGATGTGGTGGAAACCAACGCCAGTGACACCAGAAGTAAGAAGCTTGTTGAGAGCTCTACCTTGGGTGTGCTAGATACAACATCATTACAAGGATATTTCGCCGGACACGGCAAGCATGTGAAGAGTGAAAAGAGAAAGCTCGTGCTCATCATGGATGAGGTTGATGGTATGTCTGCTGGTGACCGTGGAGGTGTGGGAGCTGTCGCCGCCATTGTCAAGAGGACCAAGATTCCAATCATCCTTATCTGTAATGAGCGAAAGCTTCCAAAGATGAAACCTTTCGACTTCATTACCTATGACGTGCCGTTCAGACGCCCGACTGCTGAGCAAATTCGGGCAAGACTGTCCACTATTTGTTTCCGAGAAGGCCTAAGGATTCCGCCTCCTGTGCTTGATGGCCTCATTGAAGGAACACATGCCGATATCCGCCAGGTCATCAACATGCTTTCCACCGCAAGACTGGATCAAAAGGGACTCAATTACGACGAAGGCAAGCAAATGTCAAAGTCGTGGGAGAAGAATATCATTCTCAAGCCCTGGGATATTGTCAGCAAAATCCTCAGCGCCCAGATGTTTTCCCCGAGTTCCACTTCTACCCTGAATGACAAAGTCGAGCTTTATTTCAACGACCACGAATTCAGCTACCTAATGCTTCAGGAGAACTATCTCAAAACCAAACCCGCTCTTGCGGGCAAATATCAGGGCAAGGAACAGCGACTGAAGTCCCTTGAATTGATGGACAATGCCGCCTCGAGTATCAGTGATGGTGACCTCGTCGACCGCATGATCCACGGCACCCAGCAGCAGTGGAGTCTTATGCCCACCCATGCCATTTTCAGCTTTGTGCGACCAGCTAGCTTCCAGTATGGAAACTTCAATGAGCGGCCTGCATTTACTAGCTGGCTGGGCAACAACAGCAAACAGGGTATGTCTTCAGATTTTCAAAATCGTCTGTCTACACTTTCTAACTGATCTATTCTCCAGGCAAACTATCCCGATACGTCAAGGAAATACAGGGCCACATGCGTCTTCGTACGACAGGTAACCGCGACGAGATCCGTCAGCAGTACATGCCTTTGTTCCAGGAGAAGATGATCCGCCGAATGATGGACGAAGGCAAGGACTGTGTTCACTCGGTCATTGATCTCATGGATGAGTACTATCTCACTCGCGAGGACTTCGATTCCATGGTTGAGCTAGGACTAGGCCCAATGGACGAGTCTAAGATCAAACTTGAGACACAGACCAAAGCCACCTTCACACGCCTGTACAACTCGCGTTCGCACCCCATGCCATTCATGAAGGCCAGCAATGTCGTGGCACCTAAGCAGGCAAAGACGGAGAAGCCTGATATTGAAGATGCTCTTGAAGGATCTGATGAAGAAGAAGTTGTTGAAGAGATCAAGGATGAGGACGAGGAAGAACTTGATCTGAAGAAGGACAAGTACGTGAGCTTGCCTAAGAAAAGGAAGGCCCCGGCCAAGGGCAAGAAGACGAAGAAGGCCGATGATGATGTCGATACCGATGAGGAAAAGCCGAAGAAGGCTCGTAAGAGTAAGGCCAAGGCGAAAGCTTGAGAGATGATCAATTTTGTAACATATTATTTTCTTTGTTAAGAAGCACGCGTTTTAATGGTGTTGCTGCATTTCAATCTGATATCTCTCTCTGAACACACCAATTTAGTTGTTGTTTACATCTTGACGTGTTCTAAGACTTCTTTTCTTCTCCCACTGTCTTCCCATCAGAGCCATCACAAGCTGCCCCCTTGCGAATGCCGAGCTCTTTTACTTTCAGACCTTCCCACCTCCTTTATTTCAGCTCTTGCTATCTTGTTTTCTATTCTGTGCAGATCTGCTCCTGCATGCCAAGATGACTACTGTCTCTGTATCTGGTGGCTCTGACGATGTCACGTTAAGTACGTCGAATGTTATCGCTCATCATGGATATAAAGACTCAACTGTCTATCTACAGGTTCTCCGGACACTCAGCGTCCAAGTATCCCGTACAGAAAACTTCTTCCGGGGGTTCAGACCACGCATAATGCTCTCATTCTTAGGCCTGCTCCATTTACTGAACCCCAAGTCGAAGAGGTCCCCATCCCGTCCCTACTGCCAGGAAGTGTTCTTCTGCGTATCCTCGCAACGCCGCTCCACTCTTACAGCAAACTTGGCTTTGACTTTTACAACCCTGGGAGCTCGCTCCACGAAAAGCCATTTATTCCCGGCTCGAGTGCAATTGCCCGTGTGAGCCAGGTCGGTGACGATGCAACCATTTTGAGGACTGGTCAACTAGTCTTCTTTGACTCAGTCATGAAAGGAAGAGATAGCCCAGAGACGATTCGAGTTTCCAATCCTGTATATCATGGCTTTGACATTCAAAGCAAGGGGATCATAGTCTCTAGCGGCTTCGCAGACGGCTCATATGCTGAGTTTATGAGAGCACCGCTTGAGAACTGCTATCCTTTGGATGAGGCTAAGTTGATGGGAGATCCGAGGAAATGGGGCTTTGCATATACCCCAGCACAACTTTGTGCGATTACCACATTCCTCAGGCCGTTCGGTGGACTGACGAGCATTGATCTGAAGCCTGGTGAAACGGTGTTGATTTCTCCGGCCACCTATCCAAACGGTGTTGCTGCATGCATGGTTGCTTTGGCTATGGGTAATGTATTTCTTGGATACCAAAGACATCCCTGGATAATGAAGAGTCTGGGCTAACTGAACTAGGTGCAAAAGTTGTAGCCTGGTGTCACAATGATGCTAAGCTGGTACAGCTCAATCAGATCCTATCCCATACTCACAATGGTTCTTGCGAAAGGATCTCCACGATAACCTGGACAGGCAACTGTACAAAAGATGTCCGCAACATTAACACATTTGGTCCGATGGATGCGTTCCTCGATATTTCTCCTCCAGGAGCCCGAGGATCCTTGCATCTCAAATCTGGTATTATTTCGCTCAGGCCTGGAGGCCGGGTGAGCCTGATGGGTGCCTATGACGAGCTTGAGATTCCAAATCTCTTTGTCACACGTTGCAATATCACATTGAAGGGAAACTGGATGTATGAGCGAAAGGATGTTCTTGCACTGATCAAGATGGTAGAGAAGGGGAATCTTCGCCTAAAAGAAGAGGACGGATGCTATGTTGTCGGCCAATTTGGTCTGGATCAATGGAAGGAGGCACTGGAGGCGGCCAAGCAGCTCACTGGTATTGGAGAAAGTGTTGTGTTTTCTTTCTAGGCACAATCTCGAGGATATTCAAGGATCTTAGTCTTGTCCGGTTATTTGAATCTCAATACCTGTCATCACCCACCCATGCCATTGAGGCGGAGTAGTATCACCGTAATATGATCGTGCCATGGGCGAACAGAATTTGCAACATGGCTCGATAATGAAATCATAGCCACTAGGGAGCAATAAACAACTTGTCAAGTATTGTATGTACCTACCTGTACGGAGTAGACATCGATGTAGTTGAGAAGTTGGGAGTACATGTATGACCCCTTGGCGGGGAAATGATCTGCGGAGAACGCAACTTCATGAAGTTCCCTCTCTTCTTGCTTCTGGCATAACACACCCCTTCCTCTCCTTTCTTGATATCTTTATCTTTTTGATCTGTTTTTCCAGGCTGGTCCTGCATGAGCTAGTCTCATCCGCTCTTATCCGTCCCTTTATTCCACCGAGCATGCGCTTTTAGGCTCGAGTTGCTGTGATCATCCAGACCTCGGTCGCTAGTGCGCAGCACACCCCGGGGTACCACAGACATACGTCCTTGGAAAGCCGGGAACATGTCTCTTCTTCACAATGAAGAGTAAGTCGCATGCGGACCTGCAGGCCGGTCCTCCTCAACTCGCTGCGGAAGGTCTCCAAGGACTAACCTGAGTATAGCTTTACGATCTGGCAATTACGCTCCTCATATCTCTCAACTATCAAAGATGGGATTGGGGACCGGCTTATCAACGTCAATGACTCCGTCCTGAATACACCTGGCTTCCGCGCGGCGGGCTGGTCAACCGCCGCCGCGTACCCCAACACACTCAGCTCCTCCCACCTGAAGCGCACTTACTCCCCACCGATTCCAACGACGGCGAACGTCTCATCCGAATATTACAGACTAGCAGAACGAAACGCAAAACCAGAGCGCCACGAATTGCCAGGCCTCGGCCTGGAAGACGGCGAGGATGATGGTGGCATGGTGACTGGCAAGAGCCATACGGACGTGACCGCGCGGCGGCATCACGCACGCGGAAAGAGGAAAGCTCGACGGGAAAGGCAACAAGACGTCGAGAGACAAGCGGAAGCAGAGGATGACGATAGCAGCGATCTGAGTGATGACAGCGACGACGACGGGGACAACGTTGGCAGGTTGGTGGATTATTGTGTGGTATTCTACTTCCCTATCTAACAAAGAACAGTGCTGTTGATAAGATCAAATTCGACAAGATGCCTATCCGCCGAGATCGAGCCGACTCCTCTCCAATGCGTTCTGGGGACCAGAGGGAACGGCCAGAAGTGATGATCACATCTGCATCAACACAAAACCTTGCAAATCAACACCACCAAGTGAAACCAAGGCCCCGTCGGGATACAACTACTAGCAGTGACCTGTCGACTGATAACGAAACCGACCTTAGAGGCTACAAACAAGGACAAGTTCAATTCTCCGCAAGTGATCAGGTTGTCGAGTATTCACGCAGACGGCGTGAACGAACTGGCAGTCGAGGTGCAGAGAGCCTGGCCCTTGGAGAACTCCACGAGGAGGATGAGGACGAGGATTCCGGTGCTGAGTCTGTTGGGTCTGCACTTTCCTCTGACTTTGATAATACGGCTGGATCTGGCTCCTTGCTGCTGGCAGGCGTGGCGGGCGGTTTGAATTTGTCCTCACCCATGGCCATGATGAACAAGTTGCCCTCTGGCACAGGACCGCAGAATACTTCACCGCGCAAGCATCGCACTCCGGCTCCAGCATTGCAAGATCTTCCCCCGCCACGGCCTATCAGCATGATACAGCCGGTCAGCTTATTGACTAGCCAGCTTACATCCCGGAAGCGAGCACCAAGTAATCCAGTGGATAAATTCATGGTGCTCTCTGGGCGAGGTCAAGACGACCCGTTGTATTTGAAGATCTACGTTCCCTTTTCAAGCGACCCTGAAGACCCGCTGGATCTGCCACTTACACGCGAGTCTAAACTTGCAGAGCAGCCCGCACAAGTGACTGTTGCTGAGACGATCGGTCTTGCCCTATGGAAATACTCGGCGGATGCTCGCGGTCCAGCCATTGATCGCAAAAATTTGACCGTCAACCGATGGACGTTGCGGATGGTTGACGATGGCGAAGTCGAATATGACTTCCCAGCGCTTGGGCGGACACTTCCGATGACAGATTTTACGTCAAACAACAACCAATCTGCCAAATCCCGAGGACGATCAAGGGGCAAGCCGTACGATGAATTCGCACTGGTCGAAGCATCAAAATCGGAGTTTGAGGAGAATGAGCGGCTATATCCACAATTTAGTTCAAGCGTTGGGTCAGAAGAGGCAGATCAACCAGCAAGCCTCGCAGTACCAGGCACTCAACCCGCTGCACAGAAAAAGACCCCTCAGACCACACCAGCTCGAGCGAACCCCATCCTAGGCCAGCCATTCTCGTCTGCGCTCAACCACAGCACTCTTACTCCTGCTGACCGCCCAGTGGTACCTGTCTCGCATGCCACTCCCCGTCTTGGTGTTTCCAAGACATTGAAGATTCGTTTCATCAACATGGAGGCTTCCGCACATGTGATGACCATCAACACATCTACCGACAGCTATATAGCCGAGATCCTGGACTCTGTCTGCAAACGATGGGGTCAGGATAAGGGCAACTACCTCTTGAAGGTGATGGGGTCGAACACGATTGCGCCACTTGACCGCACAGTGGAGGCATTGGGCAGCATCACAGAACTTGACCTGGTGCGTCGTCGCTTCGGCGGCGGCCCCCTCGCACTCGGAACCTCACCAGGCAGCTCATCACCTAACGCGCCTTTGATGGTGGATACCGCCGACCCAACAACTTCCAAGAAGAGCAAAAAGGAGGCCAAGAAGGGTGCCCAGCGCATGTTGCCCTCGTCTTCTCAAAAGCAAGACCACCTAGGCGGATATTACCGCCGGTACCACGTGTTCCGCAAACAACCCATGTCTTTCACAGCGTCCAACCATCGGATCCTTACATTTGAAAATGATTACATGCATATCGTGCCCGGTGACACAGGCAAAACGGCGTCCGGTGGTAAAACCCGGTCAATCAGCTTCAGTGACGTGATCGGATCCAAGGTCAGCCGACGGCACCCCAAGAGCTTCCGGGTGATGATAGTGCGCGGCAATGATGCCACAGAGCAGAAGCGCTACGACTTTGAGGCAAGGAGTGCCAATGAGGCTGTGGAGATTGTGGATGAGATCAAGAAGAATATGGCACATTATCGCATTTGATTTTCTGCTCTTTCGGACATGGAACTGCGTTTGGGGTGGGGCTTGGACTGCGGGTTAGGGCATGGCGTTGTACAGGCATATTGCAGCTTTCACCTTATCCTTATTCAACAATGGACATTCAAGATTCAATCAGGCTTTCAAGTTACACTTGGGATTTTTGTGTGTATTTCAGCCAATAAGGGGACGTCAGAGAACCTCATGTGGCTAATATCTTAACCCGCTACTCCGTCCTGTACTTCTGTATATTGGATCCCCATACCACGTGATTCTGGGCCCACTAAAGTGACCCACCTGGCATAACCTTATCTCAAACCAGACTAACGTTCCAAGATATTCAGGATAAAGAATACTACTATATACCTAGGTACATATGTAGGTATGTAGTCCTTTATCATGTCGCTTTAGTAGTCCTTTAGGTGGTCTTTTCTTTTTTTAGCTATTTTAGACTCCTTATTAATACTATAGCTAGAAGGATAGGAAGAATTAGGCGCAAAATATAGAATTGAGGCCGCGAGAAAGTTGAGGGTAGGTAACAATAAGTACCTGGTAACCCAGAGGTACTAGTAACAAAGCACAACAAGTAAAACTAAATGGCTATTCCTTTCAGCTTCAGCCATCTTTATTTCCGGTCTCGGACTTCCTAAAGAAGTTTCAATCCAATTTAAACATTTTGGCAATCACTATACAGCCTTTTCTGCGCCCTCATCTGGTACATTTCTCATCTATCGCCATCTCTAACTTTGCTTAGTCTTAAAGCAGGTAAAGGACCTCCAACTAAATCTTCACTTCAGCCCTAATTCATTTTGTTCATATAGGTCATTTCTACAAATCAAAGATTTTCCCTCTGGTGTTCATAATGCCAAAGGCGAAGGACTCGATGAGTACTTCGACAGAGATGTTTGAGATCGGGAAGATCTCTAGCAGTGTTGAACCTGGAAGGTCGCAGTTTCCTCACAGATGAAGTCGACAAGGGCAAGTTCTGCGAAGGCGCGATTGTCCCTTACTCTTTCATCAGAACCATCATCACTCCTTCCTCTTCTGATAGTAACATCCCCTTCTTCTTATTTCTCTCCTTCTAAAATCCCAAACGACACATCATGCCTCGAAAAGATTCGTCTTCTTTCCGCACATCTTTATCCTCGCTACCTATATCTTCATCACCGGTGCCTACCTCGTTGTATCTAGTGTGTTTATACCCCTCAACCTTTACATATATATGTATCTACGGATATGAAATAACCCCGATCGATAAGGTAAGGATGACGCATTATGCAGGACCTTAGGTATACTCGTGGAGCTTACCAAAACTAGTTCCGGAAGGGTTGCCAATCTTCAAGAATCTCACGACGGTTGAGGTCAGACACTCAGATATGGGTGATTCAAACAACCCAGACCTCGAGGGTTTCGAGGCCTTGCCCGATGACACATTCAAAGGTCCTCGCCCATCGCTATCCGCAGGAGAATAGAACATCAGGAGAAGCTTCCTATTGAGGTCGTGAAATACCTGCGTTTCACCGATGCCCAACCATCCGTGGCAGAAATAGACTTTCGGAAATCTGCTGGGCAGATGTACAACTACGATACCCGATCCATGATCATAAAGCTGGTGGTTAGTGCCCATGAGATTGGAAATCCTCCCAACGAGCTGTTTCGGTCTGACCGCATCTTCCCAGACTGAATTTCCGTAGGGCAGCCCTTTGTACTTGACCCATGCCCGCCTAACCATCCCGGCGTCTGCTCGATCCTCTTGGGATTCGGGCTCGGTGTGATATTGGACATCAAAAATGATGTCCACTCGCAGATTGTCCTCGGGAACGGCTTCGGCTGTTGCCATGATGGGTTTGGTGGATCCGTCTGACTTGAGGAAGGCCTCCATCTGGCTGGCGGGAGCCTTGGACCAGACCCAGTCTCTAGTGAACCAGGTGACACGGAGGTAAGCTGCGCATGGCCTGATTTCGGCAGTGTGTCATATGCTGAGCGAGATGGGACTACACCGGTCGATCGTCGATCGTCGATCAGGGTCTGCACGCGTCCGAGGTGTGTCTTGTTCAAAGGAACCTAACGGGTAATGGGTCCCTATACCACCTATTCCAGGGCGCGATTCAAAATGGCCGACCGGTGTGGTCGAAGTTGGAGTCTCGGAATTGTATCGGAAGTTGAACGCAGATGCAGAATGGTGGCTACAAACTCAAAGGGCGCTGTAAAGCTTGTTATCATTGTGGCCATTGGTTGAAGAGCCCAAGGAGCAAGTTTGAGACTATATGGTTCTGGACACAACCATACCAACTGTGCGGCAGTCGATTACCACATCCCGCGAACCGAAACAACCCACTACCAGCCCCGCAGAACATTTGATCATCAGGTTTGAGGAGATTTTCTGTCGCCAACCGATTCCCCCTGAGCAAGATCCCCAGGTCTCTCTTGATCAGTTGGAAAATGTATCACGCAACGTCTGGATGGAGCAAGACCTATAAGTCTACCGATGCTGGAGCACAGAGACAGTTTGGTTTTGCGCATTGTATTCTTAGCTCTGTTAGCTCTATTAACTTCTTCAAAGAATGACACAATTCCAAGGTTGCTACTACAATGCTTGTCAATAACCCCAAATTTATCTCTGTTACGGCCCGTTGCTTTGAACGAAAAGGACCGCTCTTGATTGCGGTAATTATACAGGACGCATCATTCGGTATACAAAAGACAGGAATAGCTATATACAGGGTTATTGACATGAATGCAAGTGTGACCCTCACGTATGGATAAAGATAAAGACTTGATGATCGTCTAGGCGCTCTAGCCTGAGCCTGTATTTCCATATATATTCTTTTAATGCCTTTTAAGATGTCTCTTCAGATTTCCCTTCAGATGTCTCTCCAGATCTATGTCCTTCAGATCTATGTCTTTCAAATCCATGTCTTCAGGGCTATATCTTTTAGGTCTATATCCTCAGACTATTTCTTAAGATCAATGTCTTTCAGGTCTATACGTTCATATCGAATACCTTTAGATCGGTGTCTTCAGATCTATGTCTTGTAGAACTCGGGATGTCTGGTGGGGCTGATCCATGGGTGGAGATATAGATGACTAAGACACGTTATCTCCGACGTTTCCAGATAAGGCCTCGTTTACTTTTTTGACACTCTTGATGCCTCTACTCAACAACTCCCAAACAATGAGATCTGCGAAATTGGAGTTACTCCACCACCTGAAATAAAAATTATAATGAACTCAAACTCCTCGCCAGGCGAGGCGCCTGGGGTATCTCACCCCCCAGAGCACCCTCGAGCCACCAAACCTACCGAAGACACCAAAGAAGCTCACCAACCAAATCCCCCTCCCAAAGAACACGCCCGCACAAGTCACAGCCGGGAATTTCGCTTTAAAGATGGAAGTCGCCCTCACGGCAAACGGACCCACCGTCACAAATCGCGGACGCGAGACGGCGAATCCTCCAAGCGACACCGTCGCGACGACCAGAACGACCCGACACGCCAAAACCCCTTCAGTTCAACAGCCGACACCTTCCGAGAATCCCTATTTGACGCCCTTGGCGATGACGAAGGCGCCGCGTACTGGGAATCTGTGTATGGGCAGCCCATCCATAATTACCGCGCCCCGGATGTACAACGGGGCCCGGAGGGCAAACTGGAGCAGATGACGGAGGACGAATACGTGGATTACGTCCGTCAGCGGATGTGGGAGCGGACTCGCGAGGGCATGCTCGCTGAGCAGGACCGGCTGCGGGCCGAGCGGCAACAGAAAAGGAAGGAAGAAGCGCAACGGAACACGCAGGCTGGGAGGGAGGAGTTTGAACGCGCTATGGACGACAGTCTGCGGCGAGGGGCGGAGCGCAAAAGAGCCAAGACTGAGTGGGGTGTGCCCTGGGCCGAGTATTTGAAAAGCTGGGAGAGTATTGGGAAGGCTGCGGAGGGGTCTGCTCCCAAGCCGCTACGCAATCTTATCTTCTGGCCTGTTCGCTCTGGGAGGAGGGCTGATGTTCGGCCGCCGGCTGTCGAAGAGTTCATGCGTCATGCTCCGGCGCCGGCCGAATTACTCGGCACGCTCAAGACGGAGCGCATTCGCTGGCATCCCGATAAGATCCAGCATCGGTATGGCGCGTTGGGGATTGATGATGTTGTCATGCGCAGTGTTACGGAGGTCTTCCAGATTGTGGACCGCATGTGGAGCGAGGAAAGAGAACGACAGCAGTGATGACGTGGGAGTTTACATTGGGCGGCGTCTTGACTTGTTACTTGTACTATACTATTGATACCCCAAGCATCATGCTGCATAGCAGAGCATATTTTGAATGATCATGACTTTAATTCATTTCAAGGATGAAGAAAAAAGACAACAAGAACTGTAGTGGGAGCTGAACGTAGATCAGGGTAAAAAGAAGAGCTTCAGAGGGGCTATGTATGCAAGATCCCTTTCATCAATCAGAAACTGGGCAAACCCAGAGACCCAACTTGAATCGCACAGAAGAAAGGTTTAAATCATGTTTACCAAATGTCCATACAACGTAAATTTAGAAACGCGATGACCGGGCCTTGGCCCGGTAGACCGTCCAGCCAAAGTAACCACCAACAATAACGGCGAAGAACAGCACGGTCTTGAAGAGGAACCAGGTCCAGCTACTCTTCTCCTTGACAGGCCTGGGGGAGGAGCGAACACGGCCCTTGGACCGGTCTTCCGTGGTCTTGCCTTTGTTGCTATTGCCGCGGTTAAGGGAGTATAGGTTCTCCGCCTTGAGAGAGATGATATCGTGGTTGTCGCTCAGCTCACCGGTCTCAGCGGAGAGGCCCAAGTATGCGACGGAGGGGATGGCGATGTTGGAATCCTCGGCGGAAAGATTGAAACATTCGGTCCATGAGTCTTCGCTCTTGTACTGCAGCTCCAGGGACAGGGACTTGTCCTGGAAGTAGGTAAGGCGGGCTTTGGTGGGGACAGGGGCGCTGCGGAGGCCACGAGCCTGTGAACAGTTAGAGACATATCCAGGGCACCTGCGAATCAATGTAAACTCACAGAGCAACCGGCCAGCTCGTTCGCCTTGCCGTCATGCGCCTGGTCGTAGGTGGTCTGCCCATCACCCATCATAGCCATGACGTAAGGGAACGAAACACCGGGGCGGTTGTTTTTATAGGTGTCAAAGAAGATACCGAGACCTTCGAATTTATCTGTCGAACCGAAGACAGGGCCCTGCGTGGCGCGCTCCTTGGTGAGCCAGAGCGCAAATCCATCGCCATGCAAGTTGCCGGTGCCGTGGATCTCGAACTCGAGCTCAATCTAGCAGATATACGTGAGCTTTTGGCGTATATTTTGATTCGCGGGGACCGGTTATTTACCTGCCAATTGGTTGCGGTCAGAGGCACGCGGGAGGCAATCCATCCTTGCTGCGATGGCCGATCAGCCGTAAGGCGGACGTATCTAAATACGAAGACGAAAATCAGCAGTGGCGCTGATGAGAGATTCTACCTGAATATCCTTACTTGTCAGCTCGGATTACTGTATCTCCTCCGAAGTCGAACCAGCGGCTTTGGAAATCCGAATCGAGGTATGGCTGTTAATGGCGGTCAATACTGATATTCCTTCTCGGAGCACGAGCTATGCGCAGCTTGTTTTCGGAAGTCGCAGACAAGCTGGGCTCAGGATATAATCATACCGGAGAGAGGCTGTGGGTGCGAAGCTAATAGACGTCCAAAGTCAGTACCTCGGCTTGAAACGGAGTCAACATTGAGCACATACGGGGATGCTCTTGATATTTGGGTCGTCGTAGGCATTCACGGGTAAGGCGACCAGGCCCGCGAAGCAGAGAAGCGAGGAAATAGACGGAAAACGCATTGTGGAATTGTATTGGGGCTCGATGGAGGGGAGCGAGCCCAGAATGTTTCAAAGATAGACTGGAGGTGGGATGAACGGGGTACGGTGTCACCAGGACCCGAAAACCCAGCTAGTAGGAAAGAGGAAAAGAGGCCGTAAGAAATTCGAGGAAAGGCGACAAGAAAGAGTGAATAAGGCGAAGTTCTTGAGGCGCGGAGACAAGGAGGTGAAGTATAACTCCAACTTGTTATGCTAAGGTGTCCACATCGAATGTGGCGCAGCGGATACACCAGCCACAGCCCTGCACCTCAGATCCTGAAGTCCGCCGACTTTCTTCGATTCGATCCAATTCAACCCCATCTCATTTGCACCTTTTCCACCAATCTCACTCTCTCATAATGTCGTCGATTTTCGGTTCCGGCTCCGCCGCTCCTATCCAGACCTCCGAGGAGATCAAGGCAGCAGTCATGCGCCAGCTCCAGCAGGAGGCCGCCATGTCCAACGCCCGCTCCCTGATCGGAGTACGTCACCACCCTTGATATCCAAATCCGGCAACGAACTGACAACAGCCCCAGAAAATCAACAAGCACTGCTTCAAGGCCTGCGTTCCCACCCCCGGTACCTCGCTCTCCGCCAAGGAGAACACCTGCCTGTCGAGCTGCATGGAGAAGTACATCGCCATGTGGAACACCACAAGCAAGACCTACATCGCCCGCGTCGGTGTGGAGACCAAGCGTCTCGGTGGTCAGGATGCTGCTGCCATTGCCTCCATGGCCACCGGCATGCCCGAGGGCGGCAGCGGAATCCTGGGCTAAATCTATCAATCCTCGAACCAGAAGAAAGGGAATTGAAGGACGAAAAAGGAAGCAAAAGACACAAAACACACTCTGTGAATGAACTACTGTACGATAGGAGCGGCCTGGTAGCCCGTGTATAATATGGGCGTGGCTTTTTGTGCCGCAGTGGTTGGAAAGATTGGGAATAGAACAGGGTTCACGACGAATCCATTTGTACATTGAGCAGGCAATTGAAAGAAGGAAAAAAGAAAAACCAAAAAATTCGATTGTAATTGCTTAAGAAAATGATGTGCATATAGAAAAGTATGGGATTTTCATATAATGGCTCCTGGTCTTTCACGACTCCTCCCGAGGTCAATCAGTTCCGGCCCTCCCCCAGAGGACTTTTCGTCGCGTCATAAAATCATACAAGCACCTTAGAAGTCGGGGAAAAGGTGGCCATATCTGGAACGAGTTAGTCAGGTGTGCGGATGGTGTGGAAAGAGGTACATACGGATCCTCTCCTTCCTGGCCATAGTGCTCTGTTTCTTCCGGATACTTGTCGTATTGGCTTGCATCGCCTTGTCCACCGCGAATGGGCGGGATATATGGCGCGTCGATATCCTTACGAGCTAGTCGGTCCCAAGTGACCTCAGCGAACCAGGCATGGTTCTTGACATCACTCGGGCCACCGTGCAAGTTGCCGAGGCGCTTGGTGAGGTCGGATGTGATCAACTGAGAGAGCAGATCCACCGCGTCTGTGTGCAAGTATGGAGGATACTTGACTTTGCCCCGCAGGATATTCTCGTAGATCTTGACTGGAGATCCGCTGTCCCAGAAGGGAGTGAATCCACACAACATCTCAAAGATTAAGATTCCCAATGACCACCTTCGGACAGTTAGAACAATTCGCCGGAAGTATTGAAAGCAAGCTTACCAGTCAACTGATTTGTTGTATCCCTTGGAAGAGACAACCTCGGGTGCTAGGTAGTCGGGGGTACCACACAGTGTCCACGTAATATCCGGCACATCCTTAGCAAACCCAAAATCGGTTATCTTCAGATGCCCATGACGGTCCAACAGAAGATTTTCTGGCTTCAAGTCACGATATATGATCTGGTGTGCGTGCAAATACTCCAGCGCTAGGGTAACCTCCGCGGCATAGAATTTGGCTACTGGGTTCGGGAATCGCTAATGACAAATGAGCTCTTTGTTTTACACGCACGGAGACCTCATGGATCACTCACTTGTGACTTGCGCAGGAGACTGAACAATTCACCTCCCTCCACAAAGTCCATGACCATATAGAGGTTTCGGGAATCCTGCCAAGTTCCCCACAAGGTAACGAGGAATGGATGGCGGACACGATTTAACATGCGGCGCTCGTCATTTGTGTGCTCAATTTGCTTCATCTTTACCACCTGGGCCTTCTTCAACACTTTCATCGCATAGAAGCGATGGTTGTGGTTAGACTGCACCAGGTGCACACGGCCGAAGCTCCCCGTTCCCAAGGTGCGCTGAAGCGCGAAGTCCTCCTGAGAGTACTTCCCCTTTGTAACACGTTCCTGCTTTGGCTGTTCCTGGTGTATAATGTTGTCGATACTGGCGGCATTCTCCTGTGTACCCGTACCCGAGTGTTGGGGCGAAGCGTGTGAAGCGGGTTGCATGGATGCGCCTGAACCGTCGTGGTTCTGAG